AAAATGGCCTCAGATTAACTACATGCTGAGTATGTAACATGCCCTCTTACCTGAAGTGGTTTTTTTCGTGATTCCCTTGTAGTTTACAGCCAACCTCCTCAAAAAAACTGAGTACTCACAGCCTGTGCTTTAAAACGGAGCTCAGATGTACTTCACCATCACTCAGCTTTTCACCATAACTCCTTTGCTCTCTTCTGCTGAGGCCCAATGGCATGGCCCAAATCTGATCCTTTTTTTCCTTCCTGTGTATTACTTCCAATATCCACTACAACACATCAAGATGCAGGGACTCTGCGAGTAACTATAGGGAGATTTTCAAGATCCCTTTCCAAGCTCAGCTGTAGTTGAACCAGTAGTACCAAGTCAGCAGTGTGTCCCACAGCAGCAAACTTCCATCCCAAGTCCATCTCTGGACTGTGCCTCCAAACTGCAGCAATGGATACTCGAGGGAGTACTCACTGTTACCCTGAAAGGTACAAAAGTTCCCTTATGCTGGAACACAGAGAGCATGTGCTGTTATTCCCAACAGATTAAGACTGGAAGAGCTACAAATTGCCTAACTTTGGTGGTATTTGTTTCATCTCTGCCCCCGCAGCATATCTCTGCTCCCTGATGCACACATGTTTCTATAGTTGGTCAAACAGTGTCATAGTTGGCAACTTCTAAAGTCAAAGTTTGAGTCATGTCTACTATTATTCCATTCTACTGCGGTTCTCTGGAACAAGTATTAAATATTAAGCCCATGATCCCAGCAATAACTAAGCATAAAAGATGAAGAAAACCTTAAGGGCAGCATGCTAGCAGACTAAAATCTTCAAGGGAAATTTTCCTTTCCTGAGTGTCTGGAACATACTATAAACACACTGGTACTACCAAAAATATCAAGTGATTTCTAGTTAATTTATTCTAAAGCCTTATGCAACATATTTCATATCAGTCTGCTTATTCATCTTAAATGTGAAATAAAGAAACCTGATCTCTCCTGGTTTTACTAGAAGTATTCTGGCTTAGAAGAATTTCATTTGTGAGAGCTCTTCTGGAATAAAGAGGACAGAAGTTAAGTTCCTGAGGAAAGAAGATCAAGGAAAATAATTTGTGGTATTTGAGAGAAAGTCTACAGGTTCATTTCCTCCCTATTTTAGTCCCATTTTTGGGATTTTTTTAAAAGGCACTGTTTTTTTCATTAATTCTGTAATCTGGAAAAGATTCTTTATTGATTTTTCCAAGCACACAACATGCACCTGAATTCAGTATGAACTTCAAACTAAAATCAAAGTCAGTCTTTTACATTTCAGACAGAATACACTCTATCTTAAATCACTCAGTGGAAAGGACAAGGGAAATCTATTTGTCTTCAATTACCTCAAACTGTAGCCAATGCAGTAATGAAAAGGTGTATTGCTATTAAAAAATTAGCACTCCATCTAACACATGCACTTATGGCACACTAAAATTGCCTGCAACAGGAGACATGAGAAGGAACAGTTGCTAATTTTATTGACCTTTGATTAAACTACTGGAGGGCCCAAAGTATTTTAGTACCTCTCCTAAAGTTGCAGAAGAGGAAAACTACCACAACCATCGTTGGCCAATCCACCTGTCTCTACAAAGAGTGTAAAATTCTTCCACTTATTTAGTATTATGAACAACACCAGAGTACTGCTTCTTAAAACTCAAAGGACATTAAGAGCCCCAGAAAAGCAGTGACTAAGCACTCCAAAACACAGCAGTTTAAGCCCTTCTCACCTCATTAATTTTAACTAAAATTTTCCATGTGCAACAGGCAAGCGTCAGCTTCATTATTTTAGAAAATAAATACTCCTGGGCTAAATTTGACAGGAATATTCACAGAGCTGCTATCAGTTACCTAGGTACCTGTTTCACTTTATAGCTTAGCAGCTCCTCCACTTTGTTAAAGCCCAAACAATTGCATTTAACAATTAGTTAATGCGAGTTCACTTTCAACAGAGGCCTAGTGTTCCTCAGACAAGCCAGCCCCCAGCCCTTTGATAAGCAGGGTTCCATTATTTTATGTATCAGATGTTAATCTCCTGTTGCTCCAGGGTTTTAAACCAAGCTCAAGCCCCTGACCAAACGGATGGGAGACTCAGGAGCTCTGCTTTGGTCTTCCTTTACACTGTGGCTGTCAAACACATAATCAGAGTAAAATGTGATCTGGAATGAAGGCTTACAGTTTGCAATGGAGTTTCTGTCACTGCAAGTGGAGAGGAATGTTTAGGAAGGTTTTCTGCAGTAGCCAATTTCTTCTAGCCCAGAGAGTATTGAGCACAGGCTGCCTGTACTCTCCATTCTATTACAAAAACCTAATCCCATCGCATGACCTGCAGCAATTCATTTTAACAAATCAACAATTACAAATATTTTGGCAAAGTAAGCTTAGGTATTGTTTGCCTCTCAGCACAGTTCACAACCAGTTTATGGCTTTATGATAAAAGTCATTAAATCCAATCTGAAAAGCAGAATTTACAGCTCACTTAGCAAGTCAGGCCCATAAATGGATGCTTTCAATTACAGGGCATTTACATGCACAACCATTAAGGCAGCACTGAATACATTTGAAAACTCTGGAATACTTTTTATAATAATTAAAACTTTGCGTACTGTTCTTTATACAAACAAAACTTAGGAATTTGATTCAGTCTCAAGCAGAGCTCAGATTCATTGTCACCCAGAACATACCACAAAGCCTGTTCTCCCAGTACTTTTGTGGGAAAGGGATTAGAGAGATGGAAACAAGGGGTTTTTTTTAAAGTTGCCCTCAGTAGCAGGGAGGGTTTTTTGAGCTCAAATAAACTCAATTGTATCAACTGGTGCTCAAGACTTCTGAAAGATCAAGTGGAACAGGAAGAGGGAGGAGGACCCAGGGAGAACCTTTCATTTGGAGATTCACTGTGTAATTCCAGGGTATTTGATTTTGGTGAATCTAGCTGCTGGGTGGAAGGAAACAAGAGAACAGCTCAGAGACCAATTCTTTAACCTCATTTTTTCAATTGTTTCAGTTGTTGTCTTTCTTTCACTGTTAAACAGAACCTCAGGACAGCTGATGAATTCTTCTCCAAGGCTCTATCATGAATATCCAGCCTATTCAGTAAAGAAAACTGGATCTTCAAACACACTCCTTTTGTTGACTGTGTATCTGACCCATACAACTGCAGAACAACAATCAGCTGCCAGGTCACTCTTTTTAACACCCCAATATGCTGTTCAACATATGCTCAGACTCATCTTAAAGTGGAAACCACCTTAAACAAGACCCTCCCCTTCCACTTCTTAAAGGCATTTGTAACTAATGTTATCTTTCATCATGATAGTGCTAAGCAAAGGGGGGAAGGGACTTCACAAACACCTCCTTTACTCACACTCTCATCCCCCCCGAATTCACCAGAGCTTGTAAACGTTAGAAGTTTGAAAGCTGTGCCTCAGAAGGAGCACGCAAACAACCCACTCAACCCACCAACACCTCGACAAAGCATGAGAAAATCTAAACAAGCAACCTCGCTCTGCTGGCCTCTCACCTCAAGCAGAGGGTGTTTCTTTTCCAGCCTGGAGAACAGAGCAACAACTAATCAGCGCCTCGCTGCAGAGGCCAGGCCCCACAGAAGTAATGTCATGAATCAGTTTGAAAGTACAGCTCTCCAGGCTAAGACAGAACACTTGAGAAAAGACAAACCTGCTGTTACCTGCGGTCTCCTAACAAGCTGTTATTATAAACCTCTCACTACCGATGGAATCTCACCCGTTTGTACCCCTGGATGTGAGAGCTCCACACACAATACACACATGTTTTTGGAGACACTCATTTTGGTAAACCCTGTAAATAAACTTTTTCCCAATGCTATCCCGCTTGCAAGCATTTGCAAAGAACATAACAGACGTGTTGGGTTTCTCTCAGTCAGAAACTGCGACGGACAACCAGAGAGACACAAGACCAGCCTGCAGCCTGAATCCCAGCTGCTCAACAGCTCTCCACAATCATCACAAGAGCTCTTCATTCATTCACACGCTTTTTTCCATTCTTTTATTTCCCCAGAGTGAACACTAAAAGACCACGCTGTATTGCACTTCTCTTCCCCTCCACTCTCCACAAAACGAAAAAAAAAAAAGAAAAAACCCCTACAAACAGGAACTCCACAACTCTGCAGCAACAACACCAACCACTTGCCCTTATCAAGACACAGCTTCCTCAGCGCACTTATCGAGACAGATGAGACATTACCAGGTTGTGTTTGTTTACAAACAACACCCAGGGATGGAGCTGCCACAGCTTCTCTGGCCAACCTGTGTCAGCACCTCGCTACCCTCTCAGGGAGGAATTCCTCCCCAGCACCCCAGCTGCCCCTGCCCTCTGACAGCTTTAAAGGCACGAATAAAACCAGTGATCTCAAGTCCTGCTGTGCGTCTCTGCAAACGATGAGAGGGGACAGACAAAAGGGTGAGGTGAAGCCTCGCAATCCCAAACACAAACTCCTAGCTCCAAACACAACTCCTCGCCCCACACCGCTCCCAAATTTCTTCTCCAGAACTCCAGGGAGTGCCGCACACCTAACCCTGCCTGCACGTCCAGGAGGCACACAGGGGTGTCCTGTGCAGCGCTACGAGCTGGACGCGATGATCCTCCCGGGATGCCTTCGGCGTATTCGGCGGACCCCTGCAAGGAAAACACACCGGGCACGACGGGAGGCAGCGGGGGAGAGAAGGAGCACAACTTCTTTATTCCTCCCTCCCCTCACCCACACACAGACACACACACGCACACACACACACAGCGCGGCCCTCCCAGCACAGCCCGGGGGCAATGCCGGCGGAAGCAGGATAACCTAGCCCGGGTCCCACCACAACAAAAAGGGCGAGGGCGTAGGGAGGCGCCCCCGGCCCCGCCGGGACCAGGCCCGGACGGTTCCTCACGGCCCGCGCAGCGCCAGCGGGGCGACCCTGCCCACGGGGCAAGGACCCCGGGACCGGCATCCACCAGCACGCACCGGGAGCCACCAGGATCCGCCGAGAGCCACCGCTCCTTGCCCTCCTTCTTCCTCCTCTCCCCTTCCTTATCCTCCTCCGTCTCCCCGAGTGCGGTGCGGCCGCCGCCTCTTCCCTCAGCGTTACCTCCTCTGAGGGCCCGCCCCCCGAAACGCCCCGCCCCTCCGCTGGGCGGGGAGGCCGCCCATTGGCCGCATTTACCTTCTCTCTAAGCGGCCGCACTGCGATTGGTCTAGAGATATAACTGGCAGTCAGAACAGCCAATGGAATGCGCACAACGCTAAAAAAAAAAAAACAAGGGAAGGGGAGTGGAAGAAACAGGCGTGAGGCGAAGGGAGGCGGGCCGAGGCCGCTGCGCTGATTGGTTGGCTCGGCTGTCAGTCACGGCGCGCGCGCCCGCCGCGGGAGGCTGAGCGGAGGTTTGGCTGAGCCGCAGCCGCGCAGCCGCAGTGCGGCTCTTCCCCCGCTCCGTATCCTTCCGCGGCGGGCGCGGCGGGAGCTGAGAAAGAGTGCGTGGATTCCCGGCGGGAATTGCCGCTGAGCTCCAGCTGGGCTCTGCAGAGGTGGGCCGTGACCCCTGGGCTGTCCCAGCCAGGGTGTGACACAGCCGCAGGGCAGTGCCCGTCGCTGTGCTGGCGCTGCTGAGGCGCCTCCAGTGCTGGGGACAGCTCTGGGCCCTCAGGACAAGAGAGACACTGAGGGGCTGCAGCGTGTCCAGGGCAGGGAACGGAGCTGGGGAAGGGGCTGAGCCCCAGGAAGGGCTGAGGGAGCTGGGAAAGGGCTGAGCCTGGAGAAAAGGAGGCTCAGGGGGGACCTTGTGGCTCTGCACAGCTCCTGAAAGGAGGGGACAGCTGAGGGGACAGCTCTGCTCCAGGAACAGGGACAGGAGGAGAGGGAACGGCCTCAGGCAAAGTTGAGGTTTAAATTGGGAAAATTCCTTAATGGAAAGGGCTGTCCTGCCCTGGCACAACTGCCCAAGGCAGTGGTGGAGTCCCCATCCCTGTAGGAATTTAAAAGCCATGTGGATGTGGCACTTGGGGACAGGGGTCAGTGGTGGCCTGGGCAGTGCTGGTGTCACAGCTGGACTCAAGTCTTGGTGGGCTTCTCCAGCCTAAACGATTTTGTGGTTCTAAATAGATTCAAACTGCCCACAGCTCCATTGCCCACAGCCCCACAATGGCACAAGAGCTCCAGGGTGGCCATCCCCAGGTGTGACACGGACACAAGGCAGCCCCAACAGCCCCACAAAGGCACAAGAGCTCCAGGGTGGCCGTCCCCAGGTGTGACACGGACACAAGGCAGCCCCAGAGCCTGCCCAGCCTCCCTCTGCTGCCTGCACCCCAAACTCACAAACTCTTAACCCCCTCCCCCATATATTAGGGATTATTTTTTAGCTACTGCCTTCAATAATCTTTGCAATGCTTTAACCACTTGTGTTGAGGTAATGGTGAAAAGGAACCAAATTCCTGTGCCCCAGCAGGGTCACCATAAGGAAATCAGAGCCTGTTACCTGGCAGTGCATATTTGGGGACCTGTGTGAAACCCATGGGGCTCTGTTGTGTCTGCAGAGAACCAAGACCCTTGCAGATGCCCAGCAGGTTCCCTGGGGCTGTTCATCCTGGGAAAGAGAAGTTTGTGGAGACCTCACAGCACCTTCCAGTATCATAAAGGGCCAGGAAGCCAGAGAGGGACTCTCTGTCAGGAACTGCAGTGACAGGACAAGGGGGAATGGGTAGAAATTGAAAGAGGGGATCTTTAGGCTAGATCTTAGAAATTCTTTGTTATGAGGGTGGAAGACACTGGGACATGTTGTCCAAGGAGGTCGTGGATTCTCCAGCCCTGGAAGTGCTCAAAGCCAGGTTGGACAGGGCTTGGGGCAACCTGTCTAGTGGAAGGTGTTCCTACACATGGCAGTGGGGGTCAGGACTAGATGAACCCTAAGGTTACTTCCAACCCCTTAACATTGTATGATTTTATGAGTGGGAAGCCACAAGGTGGGATTTTAATGGGGTTTTTTTTTGGATGAGAAGATCAGTTCCAGTTTTGCTGTAAGTCTGTTGGAGATATTCTGGGGTTTTTTTGCATTTGCCTTTTTGATACTTTAGTATATATCATCTGTCTCCACTTCAAGCCGCTTCCTTTACACCTGAGGTCACATCTCCCTAACTTTGTTTCTCCAGAGTCATGCTCATCTTCTAGACTGAAAGGGTTTTTCTGCACTCAGTGATGTTGGTGTTATGATTCAGTGTCCTGGGCACAGGTCCCATCTCCACAAGGCTGGTATTCCCAGGAGCAAGGTGAGACACCTCAGAATATTTAGCCCTTTTACAGAACATGGATTCACAGAAATCCCCCTCTTGCCTCTTCTGTGCCTGGATTTTCCTAGCTTGAAGCAGACCTGTGGCTTAATTTTTTGGTAGCATTTTCAGCCAGCCCCAAACGTTTGAGATTCAAGCTGGTCATGAAATCAAGAGTGAAGTGAAGTGGAGAAGATCCCCTCTGCAGAAAAAGCAGAGCATCTGAGAGCTTGCCATCATGTTTTTGGAAGATAAGGTGTCCCAGTCATGTTGTGCCTGGAAACATACACAGACTATTCAGCCAGCACTGCACTTGCTTTGTGGAGGTTTTGCTGCATTCAGAGAGATTTTTTTTTTCTATGAAGAGTAATTTAATTAAGCTCAATTTTCATATGGATTTGCGTCAGACATTCCCTTCACCTCTCCTCTGCAACAGATTCATAGCTCCCTCTCCTCCTATCTCCAAGGTTGATTCCTGATACATCCAAGCCTCCCTTCTATGCCCCCAACTTACTTGTGTTTGCTTTCTGTCTGGAGCAGCACATGCTGTACCTGGTTCAGGGATGTGTGTGCTCTGGCTGGCCAGCTGCCTGCCCCTTATCTACTGCCAAGGAAGCCAAGCAGTGCTGATAAGGGCTGAGCTCTCCTGCCTTTCTCCCCGGCAGAGCACTTAACAACATGTGTCTTCTCTAATACAGCCGCTGTTTGCCATGAAGCTTGACAGGCTTTGTGTTTCCAGAAGCTCTGCTTCTCTTTCAGGTGTGGTTGAAATCAGTCAAAAGGCTGGCCAGCTTATGCTGGGGGATTCTAACACACACACACACACACAAAAATCCAACATTTGCATAAACCTTTCTCTAGGAAATGAAATTGCAAGCAGCAGCAGGAAGAAAGCCAGTGGAAGAAGGCAGCACCATGACTGCAAATTCCAGAGTTGCTTCAGAAGCAGGGTGGCTGTGGAGAAGGCAGGCAGGATTGTGCATATGCCCTAGAAAGAGCTCCTAGCTGTATGCCTGCACCTCCAGGAAGAGCATTGATTTAGATTGGGAATTAGAAAGATTGGGGTTTTTTTTTGATGAGGGTGATGAAACACTGGCACAGATTGGCCAGAGAGCTGGTGGATGCTGCATCCCTGGAAACGCTCAAGGTCAGGTTTGACAGGGCTTTCAGACACCTGATCTCATTGAAGATATCCCTGTCTTTGGCAGGGGAGTTAGACTGGATGACCTTTAAAGGTCTCATCCAAATCCAAATCCAAACTATTTTATAATTCCATGAAATAATACTTGATTTAGTAAAGCAAATTGCAAAACTCGATCACTGACACCAAAGCTGGATATTGCTATGTCTTATTAGTTAATCACAGAATTCTAGAGTGGTTTCAGTTGGAAGGCTGGAAGACTGGAAGGCTGGAAGTTCATCTCATTCCACTCTTCTGTTATGGGCAGGGACACCTTCCACTATCCCAGGTTGCTCCAAGCCCTGTCCAGCCTGGCCTTGGACACTCCCAGGGATCCAGGGGTAGTCACAGCTTCTCTGGGCAACCTGTGCCAGGGTCTCACCCTGAAGGCAAGAATTTCTTCCTAAAATCTTTCTTAAGTCTTTCCATTTTGTAGTTTAAAACCATTTCCACTTGTCCTTTCACTATCTGTTGTGTGAAAAGTTGCTCTCCATCTTTTTATAAGGTCCTTTTAGGTACTGAAAGCCCTCAGTGAGGTCTCCCTGGAGCCTTCCCTTCTCCAGGTGAGCATCCCCAGCTCTCCCAGGCTCCAGAGCAGAGGGGCTCCAGCCCTGGGAGCATCTCTGTGGCCTCCTCTGGACTCACTCCAGGTCCACACGTTTCTCAAACCAGGTAGCTCAGCACATTTTGGACATTAGCAGTTAGGTACAAAAGGCTGTCAGTCCCATTTGGATTTGAGGCTGCAGTGCAAGAACACGAGCGTCTCTCTTAGGGTCTCTCTGTGTGTGTGAGGGGTTCAACATCCTCTCAAAGGATCTTCATGTGCAGGGAGAACAACAGCTCCGTGGTATCTGTCATCTGTCTGCTAAAAGGAACAAAGGAGGTTGAGCAGCTTGGTCTAGTGGAAGGTGTCCTGCCTGTGGAACAAGATGATCTGCAAGGTCCCTTCAAACCCAAACCATTCTGTGATTGTATGAATTAAACCTAGGACCTGAAAAAACATGATGAAGCAGTAGCTGGCAGTGCTGTGCTATAGAGCATACATGTTGATGTCCCAAAGCCTGTGACTGAAGGAAATACAACATCAATATCAGGTAACTTCAAAGACACCTGGGATTTCTGAATGGCCCAACAGTAGCAGATATCCCTGCATGGAGGTAGAGACAAGTGCAAAGTGCAATGCCAGCAAGACAGGTCTTGGAGGCAGAGTAGATAGTTTTTATGTTGAGGTCATTATTACCAACATGTCAAAATGATGTGTTTAACTGAAAAAAAATTGAAGAACTTTGAGCTGAGTTATGATACAGAAAGATCAGTTCAAGGCAGGTAAAAATGTATGACTGGAGGAATCCTCACCCTGGTCTGCAGCTTCCTCATGAGGGGATCTGAAGGGTCAGGCACTGACCTTTTCTCCCTGGTGACCACTGACAGCACCCAGGGAATGGCTGGAGCTGTGCCAGGGAGGTTGGGTGGGATATCAGGGAAAGGCTCTTCCCCAGAGGGGCTGGCACTGCCCAGGCTCCCCAGGGAATGGGCACTGCCAGAGCTCCAGGAGCCTTTGGACAGCGCTGCCAGGGATGCACAGGGTGGGATTGTTGGGGGGTCTGTGCAGGGCCGGAGATTGGACTCATGGTCCTTGTGGTTCCCATCCAAGTCAGGGTATACTGTTTACTTCTGTGT